AAGCCTGAATTCTGAAATCAATTGATGATGCAGGGACTCTAAAAATGTCTACCAACATTTTCCTAATTCATACATACAATTATAATGATCTTTATTTCATTTAGTTGTTGGTACAACTGGAAAAATATGAAATAAGTTTTTGAAAATACCTTCGGTTTTTTGGGATATTTGTTCCTACACTAGATATAGATTCGGTTGCAATTTCAAAAGTTATTTCCCTTTTTAAATGCATTCTTTATAAAGATAGATTATACATGATTGAATAACTTTCTGTACATGATAGAGGAATGAGGTCATTTGAGTTCGAATTATATTTGATGTTCTACAGTCCTTTCAGAGAAAATGTTTACAATTATTTGCTTACAAAAACATCAACCGATGTTACCCTTTCATGTATTTATATTAGATGAATTTTGCTATTTTGTTAGGTTCTTTTGGTCATATATCTCTGCACATGCATCTTTGTATTTATTTGTACAGCCTTGGCTTCAGAATATTGGATTCACGGGTTCCTGATGAAGTTAATTTTAAAAAATCCATGCTTATAATTGTGTGTGACCTTGAAGAGTATTCAACAAAGGATAATTAGTAATCGAGGGGCTGGGTGGAAAAACATCCTGTTGTAGCTTTTGTAGTATATAAACAAGACCAATATAGTGTTAACATCGATATGTCAAATAAAAGAAAAAACACGGGGATAAAACTTAGTTTCGTGATCTTTAACTATATCATTAGGTTTTACGTTAATCAACTGACTTGTTAGATGGACTCTTAAACCTACATTGACTTTGATTTTTATTTTGACTACTGAGCAAAACTATGGACACAAAATCCAGAGAAAAATATAAATATCAGGTCTGTTATATCCCTCCTATCTTGTACAGTTCAAGCTCCTTAGGCTTTTGTATTGTTTGTTGTTAACGTTTCCGCATGGGTTGTTCTCAAGACTTATGTCAAATTCTATATACATATGAAAACACGAACCAAACGTAACTTCAGTCATTTTATACATAGATTATTTTTCACTGTCACACATAATAAAATACCAAAAATATAAGTTTTTGCAAATAGAAATATAATTGCTGAGGAAGTAGTTTTAGTGCTCCAGGCCTTGTTGAGTTCAAGAAAGTGTGTATATGTACATATACCTTATAAAAAAATCCTGAAAAAAACAAATCTGGTTTATATCTAGATTACTATTATTAAACTGACAGTCGGTATCTATACTCAATATTACTCATATTCGTATCATCATTGTCGAATCTTAACCAGTGCTCAGTCAGTACTAAAGATGAAGACTCACTTTCTCATAATTTAGATTTGATAACTTGTCTATCTTTTATGCAGTTAAACAGAGTATATTTTCACAGTCAAATCATATACATACATGTAAGTGGACTTTGCAATGATTTAGTATTTTGTATAAGGTTATGTCTGTTTTTCTGCTCAAAGTCTACTAATGAAAATGTATCAGCCTGGAAGAAAGTTCTAACATACACAGACATCAAAACACACCAACAATGAACTAAACATTCCATAGACAGGATAGAGTTTGACGTCATTTTTGATATCAAAACCATTCTATGAAACAAACTACACATTTAAAAGCTATTGAAATATTTGTCGTTTTTTATTTTGTATTTTTTGGATTATTAAAAAAAAATAGGCAGCAGACGTTTAACAAAGTTTATAAGTTGGCCTAATTGTGCTATCTTGCTACTTTTAGTTTGCATACTGTTATTGTTTTGTTTCAAAATACAGGCAACAAAATTATTTTCATTTACCTATGTTTAAAGTAATTGCAAATAGCAGTTTCAAAACAATAATGATCATAGTTTTATGTTATCAATTTTATGTTTGTTTTTGCTTAATCGAATTATGACTATTTAACAGCGGTATACTACTGTTGCCTTCATAAACCAACGTTACTGGTAAAGATAGCCCTATTAATTCCCCATTAGGATCCCATTGTCAATATAAGTTTCCACTACAAATATTGAAAGACAGAGAAACACTATCGACCTTTTATTTTGTCCTTTAATATTCAATACTAAAAAGCTAAAGACCGACACCTAAACATAATAATATGGGGCATGTGTTACATATAAATGAGGACGCAGTCCATGTTACGAATTTTATTTTCATTGTATTATTGTCATTATACTTTTTGGTACAAACTGGCGAGGTAGTAGGACTTCCAAATGGAAGCGTCCGTCAACGGGACAAGGGTAATTCGAAAGCGCAACTGTTAGAAAAAAGTTAACGATTTTGATTTCATTAGTATATCGATTTTCATATTGATTTTTCTTATTGGTTTTTTTCTTATTGATTTTTTTTAATTGTCTTTGAAGACTTTGCCAGCTAGTTGTTAAAATTTGTTTAGGGGCCAGCAGAAGGACGCCTCCGGGTGCGGGAGTTTCTCGCTGCATTGAAGACCCATTGGTGACCTTCGGCTGTTGTCTGCTCTATGGGTGGGTTGTTGTCTCTTTGACACATTCCCCATTTCCATTCTCAATTTTATTGTAGTTTCATTCTATGTATAACATTTATTTGATTGTTTGTCACATACCTTATAAAGTTTTATGAAAGTACAATGTTGTATTGAATTGAAATGAATTTAATTTAATTTTTAATTCCAGAATACGGATGATATTACACACGCTTTCTTTGATTCGAACAACAACAGATGAGGCTGTTGCATTATTTTTATCCTGATCATTTAGCTTTCAAGCCGTGTAAACAGAGTATACTAATGCTTCGATTTCTGCTAGCCCTTCCGGAGCACCGGAAACCACCCCGGTTTTTTTGGTGGGCTTCTTTATGCTTAGTCTTATAGTTTTCTATGCTGTATGTGTACTGTTGTTTGTCTTTTCCTCGCTTTTCTTTTATTGTATAAGAAAGAAATATTTGCAATAAAACTGTGTTTCTCATATTTCTATGTTTGTGCAAGTAACTTCTCATATGAATAAACGGATATGTTTGATGAATGTCGATGTGAAAAACACACTGACGACATAAAAAATCAAAAGACATCGAAAGGGCAATATATGTTTTATCAAAAATAGACAGGCGTTTATACTTTATGTCAAGACACAAATAGCCCTGGTCTTCTAAAGTGGGGATTGCGTGTAGCAGAAACTTTTACGATCTGCCATTATTACCAAATAACCAAAAAAGAAAAAAAAGTAGCAAACAAAAATCTCCCACTCTCACTTGTATGACCGTCGCATAGAATTCCAAAATGAGCAAAACAAACAGACATAATACTAAAAAAAATAGGTTAAATGTCAAAAATTAGGGTACAGCAACATTATGCTATAATCTTAATTCACTATAAAATAATCACTTATATCTACAAGGAAAAACAAAATATCATAACGACACTCTATTGACAAAGCTTATAAGCAAAAATGAAAGACAAAAATATACAAAAACAATCAGTAAAGCACAATAGCGCAATGGCGGAATGTATAAATATCGAGCCACGCCAAAAGGATATTACCAACAATGGACTAAATAGTTGAGGTTTAAAATATACGAAGACAAATAAAAAGAAACCTATAACACGTAATTTTCAACGCCAGCACCTAGAAACTATACTTCAAGACCATCATGTATTATTTGTGAAGTTGATACGGAATATTTATAAACAAGGTCTTGGTATCGACCGATGAACTATTTGAGAAAAAGGACGAGACTTTTTTTGACATAACCTTTGTTTATCAACATTCTGCTCATACACTGGTGACGTTTTATTTTAATCTGACTAGCAGCTACAAGTTCTTGAATACCGAATGTGTTGGAAAGAACATCATCAATATATATATGAATATCAAATCATATGATCTGGCTTTTTTTATCTTCTTGTCTTTGACAAGTGTCTAAGTGTCTGATGGAACTCTGACTCATATAAAAATAAGAAAAGGTCGGCAAAGCCAGAGACATGAAAGATGATTTTATCTAATATTACCGAAATAAGGTTGTTTAGAATTTTTATCTTTTCTAAGTGGTGTCAGTCAAATCATGATAATATTAATTTATTTGCAAATTACACTCATATGGGTCAAGCAAAAACATGAATTATAACACAAAGTTAACACATCAAGAAACTCTAAAGATTGATTAATAAAGAGTAACTGCTGTCAAATATTTAGATGCAGGATTTAAGGTTGTTTTAGCTTGAAATGGGCTGGAGATTTGTATAAACAGCTTATATGTTACCGATTTTTTAATACAAATGATCTCTTAAAGTTTAGATCAGTTAAAAATGTTTCAATCTAGAAAACAATGGTATTCATAATCAAGTTTGTTACAAAATTTATATAACCTTTGGTCTCTGTGTAGATTTCTTATCAAAGGGACTAAGAAAACTATTATGCAGTCATTTAAGAGGTATTGCGAACATAAGATGGGTACGTTTTTGGAGATAGGTCAAAATAAATTATTTTACGTGTACGGGAAACCCAAAATATCACTTGGATAAAGGCATCTGCAAAGAATATTGCTATAAAGAATTAAACAAAAGTCATTTTATAAATTGCGTCAGTCCGTAGCGTTGATTTGTGGATTCATCCTCATCAGAAACGTTCGTTTTATAAGTCTGTAAATAAACTGTCACTAATATCAAAGAATATGTTAAGTAGAAGGTGTGGTAAAAAAGTGCGGATTGAAAAATGATGCCGCTACGATCAATATATTCCATTGCTTGATGGAGTGGGATTTAATAAACGGGTGTCAACATGACATCAGAATCAAACTTTGTAAACAATGTTTGGTGCAAAATATAACTGTTTTGCTTATGGTGTTGAAAAAAGACAACGACAGAATTAGGAAAAAACTAAATTTCTGCGTCTAAAAACATTCAGAACAACAGCAAACAGAAATTGAAAATAAAATATACACTACATTTTGCTACATAAAACAGAAATGGAATTTATAAAATGTAAAGATTGCTCTTCTGTTTTAAGTTGAATAATTAAAAATCTTTTTACGTTCTGAATTTCCCTAGTTGACTAAACTCAAAAACACCAAAAGTGTTTAATCGCTGTACATGTTACTATAGTGACGGTAACTCTTTATTCACAACAGAAGAATTTAACATCATTTAGTGCAGTATCGTCGATTTGCTTTCCTTGGTAAGCATCTATTTTAGTCTTTATACCACATATGGCACTGTTCGCTGGACAAGCGTCACTCCATTCGCCGTAAGAGCCATACATGCCATAACCAGGAGGATAGCTAAGATCAAAGTCATAACATTCATTTTTGAAATATCTGCATCTGAATCTGACATAATTGGCACCTGTACTATCTTTTGTAGCCTACCAAACAAAAGAAAATAAACATGTTCTGAGTTCATTCCACTTAGCATTAATTTAAGAAATCGGTGAGGGCCATTTGCAACTAACCGTTACTTAAAAGGTGATATAGTTGGCATTGCCATTCCCTTTTATTTAGTTTCGAAACCTTTAAAACGTGTATATCAGTGCATGAGTCACGGTTTGTGATTTGTATAATTAGGTACAAGAATAAAGCTTGGATGGAGAGTTGTCTAATTGGCACTCATACTACATCTTCTTATATCTATTGATAAGCGAAAAATACAGAAGATTTAAGGATAATAAATTAATATGAACCTCAATAGAATAGGCAAACGTCTAAGGCCTATTTACATGGAGTTGCAAATCTAGTTTATGCATTTTCAATAAATCATAAAATTGTATCCTATAAATTATCAATGTGTAGAAAATTAAACTCACACTAATTTGCTCTGTGTCATAACACGTGTACACATATAAAAATAAGATGTGGTATGATTGCCAATAGGACAACTCACCACCAGAACCCAATTGACATAGAAGGAAACAAATATATGTCACCGGACGGCCATCTACAATGAGCAACTCATACCGCATATTATGTACATGAGCCAGTCAAATATTTGATCGTCAGGCCATCGACACTGAAGCTATATATGAAATATCGATGAGGAAACTTATCTTTCTTATTCAATCAGCGCGCCTGCATATGAAGTATATATCTCCCAGATGCTACAATCAAACAGTTAAAAAGGCAAAATTAAGTACAAAGAAGAAGAGCATTAAGGACCCAAAAATCTGATAGGTTTTCCAAATACAGCTAAAGTAATCTATCCATGGGATACCATCCACGCCTTCTTCCCTTTTTTGAATCATTTTGACAAGGTTTTAGGCCTTATCGTATTTTTCAAAAGATGGAAATGGGTCTTTTATGCAGAAACTTAAATAAAAGGATAGATCACACGAACACTGATAAATCTTTGTAAAGGAGGCAGAAGAAAAAAAAACTGCTTAAGTTGGATAATACGGAAATCGGAGAACATTTTGTTAGTGAATTATTTATATTCTATCACTGTAAACCAATTTATTTTTCGGCAATTTATTTTCGCAAATATTAGTTTCTTTACAGTATGCGTAAATATCAATTCGGCATAGAAACATATGATACAGATTTACAAGCACACGAAACGAGTTTCTAGAATAATCTTCCTTTGGTACGATCCAGTCCAAGAATCTCGAAAGTTATCAATATAAACAATTTGAATTTATCAAAAAACTAATGATTTTCTACCCCAGGAAAGTATTATCTTAGCTGTATTTGGCAAAACCTTTCGAAATTTGTGATCCTCAATGCTTTTCAGCTTCGTACTTAATTTCGCCTTTTTAACCTTTTTGATTCGAGCGTCATTGGTGAGTTTGTTGTAGATAAAACGCGCGTCTGGCATAAAAATGCTAATCCTGGTATCTATAATGAGTTAATTTAGGTGAAATGAAAACCCAAAAAGGTCTAAACAGAACAGTAGAATCGTCAAATGTCAATTTTGCTTCAAGCAGTTGCGGTATTAGTTTTAGTACCATTACGTAACATTAGTTTTAGTACAATTACATAACAATAGTTTTAGAACAATTACATAACATTAGTTTTAGTTCAATTACATAACACCAGTATTAGTACAATTACATAACATTAGTTTCAGTAAAACTACATAACAATACTTTTAGTACAATTACTTAACATAATATTTAGTACAATTACATAACATTAGTTTAAGTACATTTGCTTAACATTAGTTTTAGTACAATTGCATAACTTATAATTAGGAATTATACAGTCAAAATGTATCATCGATACCATGCCAATAACAAAATTACTGGTCACTGAGCTCATGGAACATTGAATAGAACAATAATAATTATCTTAGAACTTAGCTTTGTATTGATCAGTTTCTCTAATTCTTACCCTGATGTTTTGTAGTTCAAGGTACTAAGGTAGCAAATTTATAAAAGTTACTTATTTTTCATTATGTAAAACGCATTCATGATATAAAATGTTACAGAAAAAAAACTCCCAATTAAAAACAAAGGCCATAAGCTACCTTTTACACTACAATTCTTAGTTTATTTGTTTAACAGAAACAAATGTAACAATTCAAAATCTAACACAGGTAGTTGTAAGCATATTCGACTTCACTTAGATTTGTTATTATATGAAAGACGCCACACTGTAATGATTATAGATCGAAATTGCTAGTAAGCTTAAGTGATCATAAAAACGATTCTTTTTAAATAGAAAATACGAACTATTGTTCCCCTGTAGCATTTCTGGAAATCAGAAACAGAAACATTATTATATAGATATGCAAGTACAAAGACAAACATAAGTACATTAATAACTCATCACCTAGCTTAGAATATTCAAATTTAAGTTCAATGCATATTTGCTATTGCAAATAATCTTTTCAAAAAGTATGTTCATGCAGAAGTTTTGTCATGGATTTTAATTAAACTTGCAAAGGAGACTTTAACAGAAAGAAAAGGTGGGTTGTTTTGCAAGTATTTTTAGTATATTATTAATAACAAAATTCGTTAAGATTTCTCAAAGCTTAAGGAGAGAACATATGTGTTACATCTATAGATCTAAGCAACTTACATTGTATTGTTCTACTTGTAGAGAAAATGCGGTAAGAAATGATTTTGCTGGACAAAGTGCTTCCCCTGTCCAATTGCCCCATATCTGCTGACCAGAACTTGCCGTGTCATTACAACGATCACTCCCTCTACTCCCACAGATAATTTGTATGGCATTCAGTTCTGACCTATCTTCATGTGGTCCTTCGATCTGTCAGTAAAATGCACACATTAAACGAACAATTACAAACATGTATAATATGATCTTCTGATTTGACGTACTGATACACATTCATATATTTGGGAACCTTGTATTTAGGTCGCTCTCTTTTGTCACTTGTAATGTTTCTTTTTTCCACTGCTGGTGGACTGGACTTGGTGTATTTTTAATTTAAAATGAGTTAAGACGCTTTGATATTGTTTTAGTAATCTCTTGGTTGTCGTTTAGTTTTCTGTTTTTTCTTTGTATACCAAATAACCTCATTTATTCATACAAATCCCAGAGTGTAATCTGTGGTACTGGTTTTGCACTTGAAATGTACTTTTAGTAATTAGATTTATAAAAATACTTATGTTGGTTGATTGTTTTCCTGTCTGTTGTGATATATTGAGTTTTTTTACTTCATATTTTAATAATTATAAATTTCCGTTGAATTGGTGAGAAATATGTTTGCAAATATCATCCATCAAATTATAGTTGTTTACCCTCGTTATCCTTTTTTTATTATTATTATTGAACGAGAATAAGGTATGTGAGTATGTTCTGATGTAGATCTGGGGAAAGCCCCTGAATCAATGTGGAGAATGACTAGTTAATTGGCATAATTGTAGTGGACACTACATGTACTTTATGATAAAACACAGCATTTTTTAACACTGACTGAGCTTTTTAAATGTAAAAATATGCATTTAACGTTACTTCAATGATTTTCAATCAGGAGAATCTAAAAGTTAAAGACAATTTGATGTTAATTTAATCCAACATTTTCTACATAAGAAAATATCTGTATCAAGTCAGGAATATGACAGTTGTTTTCCATTTGTTTATTGTGTTTGAGCTGATTTTGAAATTTGATAAGGGATTTTCCGTTTTGAATTTTCCTTGGAGTTCTGTATTTTTGTTATTTCAGTTTTTATAGACGATTTAATGTTAATTTGGTTTACATTTACCGATTATATAGTAAACAAAATAGTTATTTTATTTTGACGATAAAGAATGCATTTTTTTATGATTTTTAGTATAAAGTAAAGTTAGTCAGCACGTGCAGTGGGTATCTGATTTTAGTAGTAAAGTAATCATAGTATACATACTTTCATTCTGTAACCAATAGCATAATGACCTTTTGTACAAAATTCTGCATTTGCCCAAGTACCAAAACCTCCACTATTTATTACAGACAATATCTTATTATAGCCTGGAATAGTCAAAAGTACCCTTCATCAAAATGGCTTGAAACTAAACAAAGAAAACAATTATTCGATATCTAGATGTCAACATACACTCTACACCAATTTAAACATGTTAAATGAGATATGGCCAAAATCAACAGAAACCCTCAAAGGTCTAACTCCCTCACTGAACGCTCAAAAAGGAAAGAAACAAAATACACAATTATAAAGATTGGACATAAGACAAGCACGCACACGGTTCCTGACTAGCAGCAGGATTATGAATATTTATATACATTTTTTCTCGTCAATAATATTTCAAACCTATCATTGAACATCCTTGCGTATTCAAAAAAATATAATTATATGTAAACAAGAAAAAATAACAAAATTTCCATAAAAAAGCTGATAAAAATCCTATGTACTTATAAAACGAATATTATGTATAAACAGCCTTTAACAAAGTAAAGCTTATTCTCCCTGAGTTGATTATCAGGTTTATTGCGGTAATTTTCAAAAAAAGTCTTCCGATGTTTATAAAGATTGCACTATCACAGCTTTAAATTTTTACTTGAAGGTTGCAATATTATGTCGTATTTCTTAACACGTCACAAATTGATTTATATTTAATTATGGATCATGATCAAAAGTGCAAGTTTTTTTTTTTTAAAATGTTGAGTATTCGTCAACAAAATGAACGATGACTTTCAGATACAGTTTAATTTGTTCGGTGGCTATCATCCGTTCATGCAACGTTTTACAAAAATTATTTTAACTTAGAGCAACACTGTATGAAAAGTGTCTTCTACAACAATGTAATGAATACAATTATATTGCAGTTTTATGTATTTATGTTTAATGATTGAATCATCGCTTACGTGTATTAGTAAGACGTTTCATCTTAAATTTCTAGCAGGTAATTGTTCATCTTTGAATTTTATCATTGTATAGATTGAAAAGAAAAGATATCGTGTATGAATTCATGACACAATTCAACTACACACAAGAAAGCAAACCCAAAGAAAGAAAAAAGCCTTGAACATTGCGTAAAAATTTAACCTCCCTGCAAGTTTAAACCCCGTGAGTTTGTATGAGACATTTACAACAACTAGCTCGTTAAATACATGTTTGAAGTGAGAAAATGAACATAAATGTTATAGAAATACAATTAACACTGTCAAGAACAAGCTATAAATCGTGTATATTAAATATGAATATAATGTGGTTTCTTTAACATACTCTTTATGCAGAAGAAAGCAAATCAGACTGCTGACTTTCTCTGTTGAATTGTTTCACATTTTGTCATATGGTGCTTTGTATAGTTTACATTACTGTAAGATATTTGCTCATCGATGAATGCAGTCAGTTGACTAGTAGTTTCACATCCTTGATTTTGGTATTTGGTGAATACTTGTTGTCGTCTTATAGACTATCATATCAAAACTCCTTAAGTTTACATTTACTATTTCTTTACGAACACAAATAAACATTTAATTTCCATGCAGGTATGTATTAAAGATAATGATGCATATATTTGCTGCCGATTCAAGTGTCATAACATGTGTTTCGTAAATGACGTTTTTAGTTCGATAGTTTGGGAAACAAAATACAAAACTACAATTTTTGATAGGGTCCAAGAAACATCTATAAAGATGGCGTAATAATATTGTAATCCTTTTTTGAAATGTTTTCAGATTGTGGCAATAGGAATAATGGCTGCTCCCTTTTCAAAGCAGTTGCCATACTGAAACACATTTATAAATGAAAATATATCAGGGAGTTCTAGACTTTCCCTAATATGAACTTTTTCCCATTGTCTTTAAGGCAAAGTAAGCGAAGTTTTGACAAGGATAAGTAAGACAAGGTTAGAGCAGGATAAATAAGCGAAGATTAGACAAGGATAAGAAAGCGAAGGTTAGACAAGGATAAGTAAGCGAAGGTTAGACTTACCGCCAAATGTACGACTGGTATGTAGGAGATTCGAACCAGATACATAGACAAAATCCGTATGACAGCATCCGGACTGATCGACTTTACACTCTTGAGTCGAATTTATATAAGTAATCTCGCAGCATCTGTCACTGAATTTCACACAGAATACTGCACATTGACTTTCAGACATTCTCCCAAGTACTGTGAGATCCACTGACCGAATTTTCTTATTCTTTTCTACTCTAAAGTATTCTTTTCTCGTCTGATACTTTACAACAGCAAACTTCGCACTTTGAAATAGGAAGCTACATATCAAACCGATAACATATACTTGCATGTCGGAAACAACAAAAACATCTATATAAATTGAATAAGTTTAAAACTTTTAAACAAATACTGAACAGCATTTACATTTAAATTTGCAATTAATGTATCTCCCGTTTTGAATCAAGACAACTTGCTTTTAAACACGATAGCTGCAGATTCATTTAAAATGTATGCACACACTTAATATTTGTCATAGGTCTCCGGAGCTAAATCTCATTTTAAATTAGAATGTTCAACGTCCCTAAACATCAATTGATTACAGAGATAATGCTTGTTGTAGTTATATTGAACACATTTTAAGTTTGCTGAAGTCCCGATTGAATTTTTAGATAAACAAAGCAGTTATATAAAGCATTTCAATAATTAATACGTATAAATTCAAATATTGATCATGTTAATGATGAATAACTTTTTTATTCTTATTTTTTCTGTGTTTTATTATTGTTTTAATCAATAATAAGGATTTTCTTATCCCAGGCATATAATCTTAGCCGTATTTGGCACAACTTTTTGAAACTTTTGGTCCTCAATGCTCTTCAATTTCGTACTTGTTTTTGGCCTTCGAACATTTTTTTATCTGAGCGTCACTGATGGGTCTTATGTAGACGAAATGCGCGTCTGGCGTATTAAATTATAAGCCTGGTACCTTTTGATAGCTATTATTTGTGTGTATCTCTGTCCTGTATGTTCTCCTATTTATTTGTATTGTAGTCCTGTCATGAATTCTTGTCATTTTAATGTTTAATTTAACATTGCAATAAAAGCGGGAGGTTTGGCTAGCCACAAAACCAGGTTCAACCCAACATTTTTTCTTAAAATGTCCTGTACCAAATCAGGAAAATTGCCATTGTTATATTATAGTTCGTTTATGTATGTGTTGCATTTGAATGTTGAGTTTCTGTTGTGTCGTTGTGCTCCTCTTATATTTGATGTGTTTCCCTCAGTTTTAGTTTGTAATCGGGATTTGTTTTTTTCTCAATCGATTTATGAATTTCGAATAGCGGTATACTACTGTTGCCTTAATTAATCACCTGTATTTTTTTCACTGTATGTCAACGAATGTGAAATGGCTTTTATAAATAGTGACTCTATTCCTTATGACGTAAAGGAACTAAATTCATGTTTACTAATGTACGCTGACGATATGGTTATTTTTTCAGAAATTCTATCTGGTATACAAACTTTACTTGATACTTTGTATGAATATACCTCCAAATGGTCACTTAGTGTTAATATAGCAAAAATGAAAATTGTTGTTTTCATAAAGGGTGGAAAAATACATGACAATAAAAAACGGTTATAATAACCAGGAAATAGAAATTGTAGATAAGTTTAGCTAGCTTGCATTGGTGTATTGTTAAATCTTAATGGCAAATATCATCTGTTTCAGCAGAAACTCTCAGAACAGGGTAGAAGAAATTTAAAAGATATGTATTTAAATTTTGAATTATGAAAGAAAAAAGCTATACTAGTAATGTCATGGTGTATTATGAGCTAGGTAGATTGCCATTACTGCACACCAGAAATTTAAATGTAGCATTTTTATATACTGGTTTAAGCTGCTATGTACCACAAACTGTATTTTGAAAAAAACTGTTACAGTTTTTTATATGATGATTTACAAAAATGTCCAAATATTAAGACAAATTATTTGTATTTTATTTAAAATGAGCTGCTTAGTATAGGTGTAGGTGATATTTGATATAATCAAGGTTTATTTTTAGATAGAAAGCTCGCCCGTACTTTTTACTTGAAAATCAAACAGCGCCTGTTTGATTGTCTGAAACAAGATTTTGACAGCTAACTGAGTAATTTAGTTAAATGTTCAAGTTATAGATATATGGTTCAAAATTTTGGTTTACAATATTACTTATGTAACCCAATACCAGTTATATATAAGACATGTATTACTAAAATAAGACTTGGTAGTCATGATTTAGCTATAGAATGTGGACGTATCTCTGCTACTCCAAGAAGTAATAGACTCTGTAGTTTTTGTAAAAATTAGATACATTTCATTTTAAAATGTCCCACTTTTCAAGATCTTAGATCGTATTTTATTAAACCTTATTATTGGAGAAAACCTTCTATGTATAAATATATACAATCAATGAGTTCGAATAATTTTAGAGAACGATGTAATTTGGGTAAATGTATATTTCGTGCACAAAACTTAAGATTTAACATGTTGTAATATTTTTCACACTACCTTTTGTTATCTATGCGTACTTACTGTGTGTAGTTTATATGTTTTATGCCTATAGTTGATATGACTTTGTAAATAAAGATTATTGTACTGTATTTCAGAATCATTATATACATTTTATCATTATCAAATACAGTAATCTAGTGTATTATTAAAGGCAATCTGATATATTGTGTTAATGAGAAGACGAAATATCTTATGATTGCCCTGAGAACATCCTTAAAATTACATATACCTATTACAATTACATAAAAAGTGTACAAGTGAAAGAAAATTATAAAATAAGTATAATAGAATGATGTAATTGCGCAAAAAAAAGTTAAAGAGAATATTTATCAATATATAATGAGATAAGTTGACATTGAAAGGGCAGTAAAATAAAACAATTCACTAAACTTAAATTTGTTCCTAGATTGAAAAATAACTCAGACAAAACGTTATATGGATAAGTATTTAAGACGTTGTCAATACAACATCTGTGTGGAAATGAGGAATATGTCGAAGAGACAAAAACCCGACCAAAGAGCAGACAACTGCCGAAGGCCACTAATT